TTGGACAGAGTGGCCACCAGGGCACCTGTGTTATTTCCTAGAGGCCTCTTCTTTAGAAAAATATAAAAAACCTTTTCCCCAAAGAACTCTTTCGGAAAAGGCATTCTTTCTTGTAGTGAAAGGTTTACCGCTGTTGGAAAAACCCATCTGTTCTTTCAAGTTTTTTCAAAAGAACGCTATTGCAGTGTGGATGTAATTGAAATTTTTCAAAAAAAACTCTGTAGCATAGACATAGCCCTAGTGAGATAATGCAATCTCCATCCCTAGAGGTTTTTAACTCACAGCTTGACATGCCCTGGCTGGGTTGATTTAGTTGGGATTGGTCCTGCCTTGGGCAGGGGACTGGACTTGATGACCTCCTGAGGTCTCTTCAAACCGTTTGATTAGGAAAACTCAGTGGGTCCTGCACTTCCTGGCGGATATGTTTGCCTCAGAGACTTGCAGCAGCCCACAGTTTTAGGCACTATGCCCAGGGCTTTAATTTGCTCTTTGTGGAGCTCTTTTCATCATTGGCTAGCATATAGTAAAATGGAGAATAAATTCCACAGTTCTTTCCTCAAGTGGAAATGGGGAGGCAGATGATGAGGGGAACCAAGGCCTACCCTCTACTTTAGGTTCCAGACCAGGGCCATGTGATAGTAACTGCTCATGTGAATCCCTGACACTTGCTAGAATACAGTTCCAAGACCCCTGAACTACTTCCCCCAGGACAACATCCTCCTCATTGTAATCTCCTTTCCTCCTTCCTCCCAGCTGTGCACACCCTACAACTGCAGGCAAGCTTCTTTTATAACCAGTCTGAGCTGGTTTTCTTAATTACCCCCAGGTGTCCTAATTGGCCGACACTGGCCTGATTCTGCAGGCCTGGTCAATTAGCCCCAGGTGTTTCACTGCCTTGGATTTTCTCTGCTGGTTCTAAACCAGCACCTCCCTTTTACTCTGGGGGCAGGGATCTTCTCAGTCTGAGGCCTATACGTCTCCTCTCCACTAATTTTTTTTATATCGGGGGCAGTGGGCACTGTCCAGGGTTCTTTGCTCGGTGTCCCCATCCATTTCCCTCATTTTATCCCTTTGACCCTCACACCCATCCCTGTTTTCTCTTTATTTGTCCCAAGTAATTAGTTGGTTATCTGGGCTCTGTGGACCCTCCTCGTAGGCTGGGGGGAGGTCCTTTAGATGTGGGCAGGATAGCGCCTGGACACCAAATAGGACTACTTTTTTTTTGCCCTCTGTTCTGACCCTGTCACTATTTATTTATTTACAACAAACGTGGTCCCCTTAAGGGTTATTTCAAAGGAAGAGTTTTCTCTCAAAATAACCCCACGGGGATCGCGTTTGTTGTCTCGAAAGATGCTATTCTGGAAAAGCGGCAGTCCGCAATTATAAGAATGTAAGAACAAAAGAACGGCCATATTGGGTCAGACCAAAGGTCCATCTAGCCCAGTAGCTTGTCTGCCAACAGTGGCCAGCACCAGGTGCCCCAGAGAGGGTGGACTGAAGACAGTGATCAAGCGATTTGTCTCCTGCCATCCTTCTCCATCCTCTGACAAACAGAGGCCAGGGACACCACTTCTATCCCCTGGCTAATAGCCTTTTATGGACCTAACCTCCATGAAATCATCTAGCTTCTCTTTAAGCTCTGTTATAGTCCTAGCCTTCACAGCCTCCTCTGGCAAGGAGTTCCACAGGTTGACTACATGCTGTGTGAAGAAGAACTTTCTTTTATTAGTTCTAAACCTGCTACCCATTAATTTCATTTGGGGAAATTCAAATCCGCGCTTCATTTGCAATTTTGGGTGTCTGCACTTGCATTCCTCTCGGAAGAGGAATGCACTGTAGACATACCCTAAGGGAGAGAGGAGAAAGTGCTTGTATTCTGAGCATGCCTCTCACACCTGGAGCTGTATTCTAGCAGATGTCAGGAATTTGCCAGCTGGGTGTGAGAGGCATGCACAGAACGCAAGCACTTTCCCCTCAGTCCCTTAGCATCTGGGGAATGCAATGAAAATCAAGCCATGTCCCAGAGGAATGCACTGTAGACATACCCTAAGGGAGAGAGGAGAAAGTGCTTGTATTCTGAGCATGCCTCTCACACCTGGAGCTGTATTCTAGCAGATGTCAGGAATTTGCCAGCTGGGTGTGAGAGGCATGCACAGAACGCAAGCACTTTCCCCTCAGTCCCTTAGCATCTGGGGAATGCAATGAAAATCAAGCCATGTCCCAGA